ATCAATGAATGAGTACAGAGAATGAATGAGTTCAGCTGGAGTGATCAGTAATGCCTTCACAAGGGGGTGGTGACACTCGGCACCATTTCTTGTATTTCATATATGACTGAAAAATGACATCAAATTTTAAGTTTCTTCATAGTTATAACCTTCTTGTACAACTTTTTAATTTTCTCAGAATTTCTATTTGTCTTTCTTTTTATTGGTCAGAAGAGACATATAATTTCAACTCACCAGGATATAATTCTGGGTTATGAATCACATACTTTGTGTAATTCTGCTTAAAGTTATTCTTCAGGAACTCTTCTTTCAGTTATAATTTGAACTGATTGTTGATACTGAGGTTTCTTTTCATCATAGTTCCACTGCTTCTTATAGTTAATGTCTTCCCCTTTCTGGATTTTTCACTTTTTGCTCTAGCAAATTTTTTTCCCAAAAGAATGTATGCTCAACTTTTAGAGTATTAGCATGTCCAAAAAAATCTTTATTTTTCTCTCATACATGAGGTGTTTTGAGTGGTTATTGAATTTCAGATTTGAAGTCATTTTCTCTAGAATTTGGAAGACATTATTCCAGCATCTTTTCTAGCAACATGTGTCATAGATGAAAAACTTGATACCTATTCATTCCTTTCCTTATTCTTTGAATTAAGAACTTTCATTGGAACAGGTAGGGGTGTGTGTGTGTGTGTGTGTGTGTGTGTGTGTGTGTGTGTGTAAATTGTTTCAGGTGGGTCTTTCAATCTAAAGACTTGAGTCTTCAGCTCAAGGACATTCTCTCTTTCCTTTATCTTTGTTTGCCATTCTCTTTTTTCCCCCCTTCTGGAAGTTCTACTTGAAAAATATTAAATCTCCTGGATCCATCCTCTCTGACAATTTTTCTCGTATTTTCCATCTCTCAGTGGACACAGAGGGACTTGGGGGTAGTTTGCCTGGGCCTCCTGCCCTGTCAGTTGCCCATTCAGGCCTTCCTGCCAGCAGGAAGAGGCCAGGTGTGGAAACAGACTTATACCAACTCTGGAGGAAACTCATTGTCGCTTAACTGGTTTCCTGGTTAAAACCCTTCAATTCCAGGGGGAAAGTGTCAAGAGATGAGGCCAGATAATTAAAGGACTTTGTGCTGGAGAATTCTGGGGTTCACCATATCTCGTTCTCCTCTCCTTTCTGGGCCCATAGGAATATTCTTAGCTCCCTGCTGGACAAAAGTCACCAATTTTGAGGAGTAACTATATCTTTTAACCTTTTTAAATATGTTTACTGGTGAGTTGAGATTCCTAGTTCTGATAAACACCAAAACTAAAAAACAAGTGGTCTTTAACATCAAGCCAAATATCTATTTATTAGAAATAGGTCCATTCTTTTTACTGAAGAACTTGCTTTTAGATGTGATTTTTTTAAACAATAGGTTAGATTTATCACTACTTTTATCTCATTGTTTTAAATATTAAATTTTGTGATATTGTTTTGTTTCATGTTATTTATTTTTATCGTTACTTGCCATCATGCAGTTGATACTAGTTTTCCACTTACGGTAGTGAGGTAAAGTCTCCTTTTAAAATAATTATGCTTACATGTAAAAATGAGTGTATTTGAAAAAAACATCAAAATGATTTTACAGGTGGTGCGTGGATGTCAAAAATTAAGAAGTTGGTACTAGAAGGACTGAAGTTTGGGAAACAGCTTTTTTCCAACCAACCAAAATCTCAAAATCATTTAAAACTTTAATGCACCTTGCTTGAGTATTTCTACTTTGAATATAAGCTTTGGTTGTATGCTTATTACTTTAGCAAATTCTAAGGCCTTGTGCTGGCTATCTGCTTTACATTCCATTATTCCCTACCCACATACTAGTGCCAGATATACACTGAGTAATTGTTGATAATAAGTTGTTCCACATTTCCTCTGTTGGACTCATTCCTTTGCTGGCCTGTGTGTGTGCAAAATAAGCTTTTTCTTTTGAAAATATTTTCAAATGCTTGCAATTACACTTACACTCCAGAATAAATAGCTGAAGTTTTTTTTTTTTTTTTTTAAAGCATATCAAGAAATGCAACACCATCCAACATTAGGCCTTTCAGAGCGCAGAACACCAGCAGAAGTGAGGTGTTTTGACTCAACTATCAGCCTTAGTTCCTCGGTGAGGGTCTCAAGGTTTTTTAATCCCCCTCCACCCAGAGGGGAAGTGAGGAGGACTAAATTTGTATACTGATGCAAAATATAATGGTGACCTATGATCATAATTCATATAGCTAATTTCACGTACTTTGGCCAGTTTCTATCATGTTTCCAACAGTTCCAAGAAACGTCCCATTCTGTAACCTAGGGAGCGACTCCAGGGTCGGGGCCTTCAAAGCGGGGCCTGCTCAGGAAACCGTAGATGCCATTCAGGGTTGGCTCGCTCCATCAGGACACGGCCCCTTCTCGCCTAAGTAGAAGGAGACGTTCCCCGAAGAGGGCACCTCCCCCGAGGCCCGCTCGCCGCTCTCTGACCACTGAGCACGCCCACCCGGCGCACATGGGAGCCGGGGCCAGCTTCTTCAGGTGTCCGTGAGAACGCAGTGCTGGCGCTGGGAAGCGGGCAGTTTCCGCCGGCTCGCCTTCCCGGGATGGAAAACCCGGGCACCGCGACCTGAACATCCCCCTGGAGCCGGGACTAGGCACGCTCCCGCGGGGGTGGAGGTGGGGGCGGGGAAGACGACTACACCACACGAGCTCTTCCACGTGCTATTGGACAGGCGGCGTGTTTAATATTCATGACGCTGCGTGGTTCCTTCGGGGCTCCCACCGCCTCGCGAGACCTAGGGGGCGGGCTCCACGAGGCAAAGCCTCCTCTGATTGGGTGCTCTCAGAGAGAGGTTGCATTCGATTGGCTGGTGTAAAGGACGACGCAGCGGTTTACCATGTGGGCGGGAGATTTGAATACCCATTTTCTGTGTTTCAGGCTGTGTGGACAGGATTTAGGTCAGCGTTTCCAATCCGCGTTTCTTCTCCACGGTGTTATCCCTTTATTTTCTATATAATAGTGCTTGCCAGCACAACAACCATAAAAGATATATTTCAAGCGCTGTACTCTTAGTTTGGGAGCTCCAATACGCTCATTTTGTAGATGGAGAAAATACTCTGACTCCTAGCTCTGGGTCCAGCCACCGCTCCGGGCTAGAGACGGCCATCCGCCGAAGGGGTGGGCCCGGGGCGCAGGGCCCAGCGCCTGCTCCATCTCCTCCTCCTTACTGGTCCCGGCCGCGGCAGTGCCAGGAATCTCTCACGCCTCCTCCCTGCAGCACCGGGTCTGGGGCTTAGTGGTCCGGGTCCGGCCTGTGGCTGCGAGGGCCTGGAGGCACCGTCCAGCCCAACTCCGCTGAACACCTGGGTGCGTCCGACCCAGCAGTAGCAGTGCGGCCCGCGGTGACCCAGCCCGAGGCAGGGCCAGGGCTAGACGCAGGTCTCCTGACTCCCAGCTTGGGGTTTTGGTCGCTGTCTCCTGGTTGGCGTCCCGCGTCTTCGTGATAAGTTGAGATGGCCGAGCATCTGGCCCTACCATTCCCAGGCCCTATCCCTGTATCTCCAGCGCAGGGGGTGGGGACGGAGGAACCCGCGCCTGCGCAGAGCCTTCCGGCGATGGGGCTTCACCACGGAACACGCCCCCTTTTCTCCGGTGACGCGTCACGGGTTGCCATGGAGACTGCGCTGTTTATCTCTCCGTTCTGCAAGAGCCCCGAGCTCCAGTTGGAAGGAGGCTCCCATCCTGGGCTTGTGTAGATGTTCTTTGTGGCGCTGAGGTGAGTAAATGCCGGTTCCACCCCGCCAACCCTTAACTGCCCTACCCAAAGCTATGTGCCCGCTGGGGTCAGCCCTAATTTCGACCTAGTTTAGCCCTAGTTTCGATTTCTCTAGGGGCTACTCAGAGTTATCCAGGAATCTTGGGCTAAAGTTTGAGCCCCACACTCAAACAAATTTGGGAGAGGCCATAGGAGGCACTGGAGTAGGAGACCCCGTGTTGTCTGAGGGGGCTGGGTGGCCTGGGGTGCTCACCCTGGTTATGATCTGACTCCAGTTCCCTCCTTGTATGTTTGAAGGACTTCAGAGATCCAGAGGCCCTTAAGGGCAGGCACTCAGACTTTTGGTAGGGATGTGGATGGGGCAGATTTTAGCCCTGTCTGAGGAAGGCAGTTCTCACAGTCAGTCAGAGCTGTGTGCCAACGAGGTGGGGAAATTTTAGTCTTTCTGTTGCTGCCTGCCTCTGCCTGCTGCCTTCTTATGTGCTCCCCTTCCTGTTCTCTCCTTTTCTTTGTCCTAGGAAGGTTTTGTTACTTTCATCTGCTGAATAGGCTCAATACCCCGTTGTCAGTTTACAGATGTCACATTTGTTCATTCTTTAAGAAAACGTGTCGAGGTTCATTTGTTGGGCAGTATCTACTAAAACTGAACACTGTTGTATGATCCAGCAATTCTGACGAGTCCTAGAAATGCACACATGTGTTCACCAAATGACACATATGAGAATATTCATAGCATTCTCATGATAGCCCCAAACAGAAAACAACCCAAATATCCATAAACTGTAGAAAAGGCGGATAAAGTTTGGTATATTCATACAACGGTACACCACACGGCAATGGAAATGAACAAACTACTACTAAATGAACAATACAGATGAATCTTACAAACGTTGAGCAAAAGAAGTCAGATACAAAAGAGTACATACTGTATGATCCCATTTATAAGTTCAAAAACAGCAAAACTAATTTATAGCATTAAAAGTCGGGAGAGTGGTTCTGCTGTGGGGGTGGGGGTGGAGAAGAGTGACGGGAAAGAGGCATGAGCTGCAAGTAATGCTTATTGCTTGATCTGGGTGCTGGCTACACAGATGTGTTCATTTTGTGTACAAATTATGATTTATGCACTTTTTGGTATGTATGTCACACTTCAATAAAAACCGACATCTAAAAAAGGACAAATTGCTTTCAGTGAATCTAAATAAGTCTGCCTTTAATCAGGACTTTGGAAGCCTCAAATGGCCAAACTACTGCAACCTCCGCCCAAGTTCCTGCCCTCGGAGTGGCACATCGCTAACAAGAGCCAGTACCACAGAGCAGAGGCCCAAAGGTCCCGGTCCGAGCGCCTGGTGGCAGAAAGCCAGAGGCTTGTGGATGAAATTGAAAAGACCACAAGAAAATCTCAAAGTGATGTGAACAAGAAACTAGGTAAGACAGTACACTTGGTATATTTGTAAATGTATTTGGGTGAGACTGTTGGGGTTTAGTTATACTCTCATTTGCATTTTATGTTCAGGAGTGGCAATGTATTTTTCTTGAAACATTAGGGAAAAACATGCGTATTCTCCAGGTTCTATGTTTAAGTTCACTGCCCTAAGATAGAGACATGGTAACTAGTTTGATTTTCAGCCACCCATCATTCATTATTTTACTGATTTGATACACATTTATTGAGCATCTAAGAGCATCCACAGACTAAGCACTGGGAATATCACAGGGAATGATCAGAATCTCTGCTTTTTAGGAGCTCTTAGCTTGAGAAAGATACAAATTGATAATCAGAGAATAACCAGATAGGTGCTGGGGTAAGGGGTACAAAAATAGGGATGAGGTGGACACTGGAGAATTGGAAAGATTTTCTAGAGAGGAACATTTGAGCTGAGTCTTAAAGGATGAGTAATTTTCTCTTGACAATTCCATTCTTAAAAATACTATTTAAAAGGCAGTGCCCTTAAATAAACAAAACAAAACTAAATGTAAAATGAAACAAACAAAACCTTCCAAATACCAAAAAGTGATGAACCAGAGGTTACAAAGTCAATGGTCTATAAGGGGTGGCCAGGTAACCTAGGGGGTTGAATAAGTCCCCCTAAGACAGTCGAGAGTGGTGGGGACGGTGGGACCTGGAGGTCACGTGCTCCATCTAAGGAGGCAGCTGCTACTCAATTTCAACCTGTTTTTTCCAGGAAAGATTATGGGCCCAGCGTTGCCTGATTGTCTGATTTTTTTCCTAAAGAAAATCTGGAAAGCTGGAATTTTACCCACTTTTTAAATGTTGGGAACTGATTTAATGTATTTATAACACTGGGCAGGATGAACAAACACATCTGTAGATAAAGCCTGGTCTAAGAGCTCATACTTTTTCGACCTGTAATAAACCAAAGCTTCATTCAGGCCTGCAATGTTAGAAGTTAGGTTTCTCCTGGTGGGTTGATTCTTATCCCTGATACCAGCTGATAGGCAGGGCTGTTCTAAATAATTGTGCAAATAGGTAGGTGTTGGAAACAAGGATGCACCGTTCATCTTTGATTCATTGACTCATATCAAAAACTAGCCATTTAAGGGGCCGGCCTGGTGGCGCAAGTGGTTAAGTGCGCGCACTCCACTGTGGTGGCCTGGGGTTTGCCGGTTCGGATCCCGGGCGCGCACTGACGCACTGCCTGGGCTTGCTGTGGTGGCGTCCCATATAAAGTGGAGGAAGATGAGCATGGATGTTAGCCCAGGGCCAGTCTTCCTCAGCAAAAAAAAGAGGAGGATTGGCAGATGTTAGCTCAGGGCCGATCTTCCTCACAAAAACAAACAAACAAAAAAAAACTAGCCATTTAAAATGGCATTAAAAAACATCAGATATCTAGGATAAATGTAGCAAAAGATATGCAAGAGTTCTACACTGAACTATAAACTGTTATTGAAGAAAGTTAAAGAAATTCTAAATGTATGCAGGGATATATCAGTTAATGGATTGGAAGAGTTAATATTTTAAAGATGTCAATTCTCCTGAAATTAATCTGTAGATTCAATGCAGTTGAAATCAATGCAGTTGAAAAAAATCTCAGCAAGTTTTTTTGTGAAATTGGCAAACTGCTTCTAAAATTCATATGGAAATGCAAAGTGTCAAGAATGACACAGCTGTCTTGGAGAAGAACAAAGCTGGAAGACTTTCAGTGTAGATTTAAGACTTGTTATAAAGCTGTAGTAATTAAGACAGTGAGATATAGGTAAGGATAGGTCAGTCATTGACCAATGAAACGTAACAGTCCACAAGCAAACCCACACATATACATTCATCTGGTTTATGAAAAAAACAATCATGTGGTGTAGTGGGAAAAGGATGGCCTTTCCAATAAATTGTCCAATTGGATATTCATATGGAAGAAATTATATCCTGACCCTGAGTCAAATATATATATATTTAAGTCAAATCTAGGTGGAGTGCACAGCTAAATGGGAAAGGTAAAACAAAACTTTTAGTGGAGTACGTTATTTATGACTTGAAGAAAGCAAAGATTTCTTATTCTTAAGCAGGATACAAAAGAACCAATCATAAAAGAAAAAAATAGTAAATTGGACTATATTAAAATGAGGATCTTTGTTTATCAAAAGGACTCCGTTAAGACACTGAAAAAGCAACCCGCAAAGGAGGAGAAGATATTCATAATATACATATCTGACAAAGGATTTGTATCCAAGGTGTATAAAGAACTTTTAAACATAAAGAAGAGGGGCTGGCCTGGTGGCGTAGTGGTTAAGTTCGGGTGCTCCACTTGGGCAGCCCAGGGTTCGCGGGTTCAGATCCTGGGTGTGGACCTGTGCACCGCTTGTCAAGCCATGCTGTGGCAAATGTCTCACATAAAATGGACGAAGATGGTCATAGATGTTAGCTCAGGGCCAATCTTGCTCAGCAGAAAGAGGAGGATTGGCAACAGATGTTAGCTAAGGGCTAATTTTCCTCACCAAGAAAAAATAAAAAATAAATAAAAATAAAGAAGAAAAAGACAGATAACACAGTAGAAAAATAGGTAAAAAACTTGACAGACACCTTACAAGGAAGGAAATCTAAACAGCCAGTGAACATATGAAGAGGTGCTCTAAGTTCATCAGTCAGCAGGGATATGCACATTAAAGTCACAGCTGAGATGCCGTTACACACCCACCAGAATGGCTAAAATGAAAAAGAATGAGAAGGAGGAGGAGAAGGGAGAGGGTGGGGGAGGAGAACAAGAGGTAAAAAAGAAGAAGAAAAAGGAAAATACCAAGTAGTGAAGACGACGTGGAGCAACTGGAACTCTGGTGCCCTGCTGCTGGAAGTGTAAATCGGTATAACGGCCTTGGAAAGCTTTGGCAGTATCTGCTAAAGCTGAACGTATGCATACGCTTTGAGCTAGATATTCTACTTTTGGGTATATACCCAACAGAAATTCATACATATGTTTACCAAAGATACATGCTGCAATTTTCAAAGCAGTGCGCTGTGTAATAACCCCAAATGGGGAGGTATCCCCATGCTCATCAACAGCAGAATGGATAGATAGTGTTATATGATACAGCAAAGAGAATGACTCATCTACAACTGCATGCAACAATATAGATGAAACTTACAAACTTACTATTGAGTTAAACAAACTAGATACAAATGAGTCCATACCATATTCTTCCATTTATATAGAGTAAGACAAAGAAAATAGGAGAAATTAATCTGTACTGTTACATGTCAGCATTGGTGGGTGGGAGGAGATAGAAACTGGAAGGGGTCGCGAGAGGCCTTCTGGGATGCTGATTAATGTTCTATTTCTTGAATTGGGTATTGGTTACATGAATGTGTTCACTGTGGAAGTTCTTCAATTGTGCACTTCTGATATGTGTATTTTTCTGTAGGTTTATGATGCTTCAATAAAAAGTAAAATAATTTTCAAGTTCCTGTGCTGGTGCTGAGTACTGACATATTAGACTGGTGCCTGCCCTTGTTAGCTTGCAGTCTGTGTGCACAGATACCCACAATACGGTGGGATCTATTCCATATGAGTGGCACAAATGAAGCACTGTTAGATTAGAGGAGAGAGCAATCACTTCCGATTGGTCTCGTCCAATGACTGCCCAGTTTCCCAATCCATTGATCACTTAGTCTTCATCCGACTTGACCACTCTACAATGCTAGATATTTTTGGAATTCCATGACACAAGTCTTTCCTGGTTCATTTCCTTTCTTTCTAGCTATTTTTTCCTCTTCTCCGTGGTTGATTCTTCTTTTACCATTGATACTGTATTGGTATTTCCTAGTGTTTTGTTCTTGGCATTCTTAGCTTTTTCTTCTCTTCCCTCTACCTTCTTTCTTGATGACCTCACTAGAGATTTTATTACTGTCCTCTTTGTGCTATTGTTTTGCAAATAGAAATTTGCAATTCTGAACTCAGAACTTCTTATGGAAGTGGAGAACTACTTGCCATATATTTCCACCTAGATGTCCTTCAGGCACCTCAAAATAAATATATCCCAAATTGAACTCATCACTTTCCCTCAAAACTTGCTTCTATAGTTCCTTATGCTGGTTAGTGGGACCAAGATTCAACAAATATTTAGTCAACAAATATGTCTTACACTGTGCTACATGCTTAGGATTATAAAGTTGAAGAAGACAGACACATTCTAGTAAGTGAGAGAGATAAAATACAAGTAAAAAGACAAGAAACTAAAATTATTCCAAGTTATTATCTTGAACTAAGGCAATGTTGGTAGGTATGGAGAGAAGAGGGCAAATTTGAATCACATTTTGGGGATAGAATCAACAAGACTTGCTGAAGGATTGAGGATGGGGGATGGAGGTGTTGGCAGGGCCGTGCTCTCTCTGAAGGCTCTAGTAGGTGAATCTGTTCCATGCCTTTCTCTTAGTTGCTGGCGTAGCTTGCTGATTTTGGTGTTCTTTGACATGTAGATATGTCACTCCAATCTCTGCCTTAATTGTCACAGAACGTTTTCCCTGTGTATCTCTCTGCATCTTCACATGGCATTCTCATTTCTGTATCTTCTGTTTTCTTGTAAGGACACCACTCATATTGGATTAGGTCCCACCCTAAACAAGTATGACCTTATCTTAATTTGATTACATCTGCAAAGACCCTATTTCCAAATAAGGTCACATTCACAAGATACCAAGGGTTAGGACTTCAAAATATCTTTTTTTTTTTGTTTTTTTTGTGAGGAGATCAGCCCTGAGCTAACATCCGCCAATCCTCCTCTTTTTTTGCTGAGGAAGACGGCCCTGGGCTAACATCTGTGCCCATCTTCCTCCACTTTATATGGGACGCCGCCACAGCATGGCTTGCCAAGCAGTGCGTCGGTGCGTGCCCGGGATCCGAACCAGCGAACCCCGGGCCGCCGCAGTGGAGCGCGCGCACTTAACCGCTTGCGCCACCGGGCCGGCCCCCAAAATATCTTTTTAGGGGACATAATTCAACCCATAATAGCCTTCCATTGCCTACAAATTAAAGTGTCCTTAGCGTGGCACTGAAGAACCTTACTGAACAAACCTCTGTACCTTTCTACATCTTTCAAGTCTAACTGGAGAGCTCTTACTCAAGGTCTCAATTCTGAAGACCATATCAAATAGCTCCTCAATTCTGAAGCCTTTGTTGACCTCCCCCAGCCTCCTTCCTTTGAGCCACCACTGTACTTCTTACGTAGTTTGTAGTATAGAATTGTCACACTGAGTTGAAATTATCTGTTTACATGTCTGCCCCACAGACTGTGAGTAGGGCAGAGGCTCTGACTTAACCGATGTGTCTCCTGGACCTCCTGCAGTGCCTGGGACATTGTCAGTGCTCGATAATAAGTATATTGGATTTATGAATGAATTTTAACAACAGAAGTCCAGGAAATACTGTTCTAAACCTAGGAGTTAGCTCAGACAAAATAATAAAGGCAGGACGCACATGGCATTTATGGGGAATGACCATAGGTCCGAGTTGATGTGTAGAGTACACGAGGGGGAACAGAAGGATGGAGGTGAGAGGGACAAGAGGCTGGACCAAGCCTGAGGAAGACCTTGAATTTGGAAGGTTCAGTTCAGTAGGTAGCCAGTTAGAATTTAGGAGATAGAGCTAGAAATCTGGGAGTCATCTCATAAGGATAGTTATAGAAGCCGTAGGTGTAGATTAGAAAGAATATATTGAAAGAGAGGAGAGGAGGGCATAGGATGAAGAGGAGCAAGAGAAGAGTTGTGGAACAAAAGTTCAGGCAGATGAACAAAGAGAGGAGACTAAGGCCATGGAATGCAAAAGATGAAGGTTTCATGGGTGAGGAAGTCTTCCATTGTATCAGTGGTTGTACAGATGTCAGGGAGGCTGAGAGCTGAATAAAAATGAATTTGAACTGGTGACTTGACGATTATTGGTGACCATTGAGATAACAGGTCCAGTGGGGTAGTGGAGGACGCAAGGTGAAGTCAATTACAAAGTGTGAGGGGGGAGACTTCAGTTTATGTGGTGGATTGTACTCATGCTTTTGTCTTCCCTTCCTTTTAAATTTCCAACAAAGTAGTAGTAAAGGATTAATAAAAATTATGCCTCAAGGATGGGGGGCGGTGGGGAGGGAGAAGCAGCAGAAGCAACAGTAGGCAAATGTTGAAGATGAGAAATTAGAAGCTAGAAAACAAAAGGTCAAGTGTTGGCAGGCTTAGGGACTGCGGAAGGCCTGGGTGGGTAGAGGGCAATAAGAAGCTAGCCGATTCATGCTACAGATTCATGCTGCAGAAACCCTGAAATGCTCAAAATTGAAAGCATCCACTTACCTCTGAAGCTGGAGGTTCAGGATAGAACATAAAACACGATTGGTTGAAAGTCTTTACAGAGAGCCCCTTCCCCACTCTGAGTCTCCCTCAGCCCAGCAGAAGGTTGAAGGTGAAAGGATTCTCTGAAAGTCTACTTACTGAACAGTAATTTTTCCAGTCTCTGGTTCCCAGGACACTTGTAGCCAGCCTTATATCCTCAGAGAGATTAGATTTCTCCGTGGAGAAACTAATGGAAACTTTGGTCCAGAGGGTCCAAAGATCTGTAGACAATAACATTTGGAGATTCTCCGGGGAAATGCCTGGGCCCTGCCTGGTCACAATAAAGCATTCTGGTTGACAAGCCCTGTCACTGCAGACAGAGCTTCCAGTTAGCATTTTAGCGTTTTATTCCTAAATATGATCAGATGAGGACCACCAAACATTGGAGGAAAACCTCTAACATGACAGACACCAAAACAAACAAATAATCAAACACACAGAGACTAAAGAAACACAGTACACAGAGCAAAAGAAAAAATACACTATAAGATCCTCAGGGAGGGCCGGCCCCGTGGCTTAGCGGTTGGGTGTGCGCGCTCCGCTGCCGGCGGCCCGGGGTTCAGATCCCGGGCACCGCCGACGCACCGCTTCTCCGGCCATGCTGAGGCCGCGTCCCACATACAGCAACTAGAAGGATGTGCAGGGCCGGCTCTGTGGCTTAGCGGTTAAGTGCGCGCGCTCTGATGCTGGCGGCCCGGGTTTGGATCCCGGGCACGCCCCAAGGCGCCACTTCTCCGTCCAGCGCGAGGCCGAGTCCCACGTACAGCAACTGGAAGGATGTGAACCTATGACATACAACTATCTGCTGGGGCTTTGGGGGGAAAAAATTGAATAAATAAAATCTTTAAAAAAAAAAAAAAAAAGAAGGATGTGCAGCTATGACATACAACTATCTATTGGGGCTTTGGGGGAAAAATAAATAAATAAATAAAATTATATATATAAAAAAAAAAGATCCTCAGGGAATTTAGAGAAGACATTGTGTCCACGGAACAAGAAGAGTCGTCTTAAAAAAAAGCACATTTAGAGAACAAGAGAGTGTTCTTGGAAATTAAAAATATGAGAGCAGGGGCTGGCCCCGTTGGTGTGTCTGTTAAGTTCCCATGTTCTGCTTCAGAGGCCCGGGGTTCACTAGTTTGGATCCTGGGCGAGGACCTACTCACCACTCATCAAGCCAAGCTGAGGCAGTGTCCCACATAGAAGAAATAGTAGAACCTAGAACTAGGATATACAACTATGCATTGAGGCTTTGGGGAGAAAAAAGAAAAAGAAGAGGAAGATTGGCAACAGATGTTAGCTCAGGGCCAATCTTCCTCAAAAAAAAAGAAATACTGATATAAAAAAAAATATGAGAGCAGAACACTTTTAAAAATCAAAAGAAGAGTTGAAAGATAAAGTTGAAGAATCTCCAGGAAGTAGGAAAAAAAAAAAAGACAGAGATAGGTAGGTAACAGAAAAGAAAAGATAAGAAAATTAGAGGATCCGTCTGGAAGCTGAATATCTAATGGGAATTCCAGAAAGAGCACAGAGAAAAAGGAGCAGAGGAAATTGTCCACGAAAGAATACAAGAAAATTTCCTAGAACCCAAGGATCTAAGTTTTCACACGAAAAGGGCATGCCTAGTATCTGGCATAATAACTGAATAAGATTGACACCAGCGTGAAATTTTAGAACACTAGGAAAATAGAGAAGAAATTCTTAAAAGCTTTTCAGGTCACATACAAAGAATCAGGAATCAGAATGGTATCAGACTTCTCAACAGAAACTCTGGAAACTAGAAGGAAATGAAGCAATACCATTAAAATTGTAAATGAAAATTATTTACAACCTATAAGTCTATACTTGAATATAATCAATTGCTGAGGGTAGAATAAAGGCATTTTCAGACTTGCAAGTTTTCAAAAATTTTACCTCACATGTATCCATTTCTTAGGAAGTTCCTGAAGGATGTGCTTCAGCACTTTGAAGGAGTAAAGCAAGAAAGAGGAAGAAATGAAATCCAGGAAATAGAATTCCAACACATGAGAAGGGTGAAAGGAATTTCTAGAATGATGGTGAAGCAGTCACAGGATGAGAGCCACATAGCTAACTGGAGAGCGACCCACCTAGATTGGAGCAGGAGGAGAAAGCACCCAGGAGAGAGGTCTCTAGGAAAGAAACAAAATCAATAGATGACTTGATGGATTTGAATATATTGAGAGGATATTTATAGTTCTGTCAGAAAGTTTGAAGAAAAACTAATAATTAGTATATGGAAAGTGAATCAAAAATACAATTATTAACCCCTCCCAAACCCAAAAAGTTGTACAAGAAATTTATCATAGTATATTACATGGTTCAGGTTTAAGTAGCATTTACATATTTACGATAATATAGACAAACGTTAAGTTATTATTTAACAACATGGTGATACAGCTATATTGGGAAGATGGAAGGACCATCTTGTGTGTAGGTTGTATAAGAGCAAATCCTTATCTCTCATCATAGGAAATCAATAGATAATATTAAAACCGATAATGAATAATAGCAATGTAAGCAAATGCCAGAAGAAATACTAAAAGTGGTTGCTTCCAGAAAGTAGGAGTGGGTAGGGATGGGTCAGAGAATTGTTTTCAAACAATATACATTTATATCTTTGATACAATTAAAAGTTATTAAAAACAGTGGGCATTGAAGTGTTAGAATCAAGTGTGGAATGATCTTTGGATTAATTTGATGTTGAATATAAGAAGAAATATCTTCCTCCCTCCATCCTGCCCTCCCTCCCTCCATCCCTTCTATCCTTCCTGCTAGTAAACACTTACAAGGATGAAAAGATGCCCCAAGTAGCACAGCTCTAAGAAGAATAGAACACATCTCAGGTAGTTTTACAATAGTCTTCGAGTTTCTAATCCAAAAGTTGGCCGCATTGGGAGATTAACCCTGGTGTAACTTCTCTGTGTGCTTCAGAACAGAGACTTGAGGAAGTCAGGTTCTGGAAGAAGGAGTTAGATGACAAACTTGAGCAGCTTGTGTATGCAACCGAAGATCTGCTCATATATCAGACCAGACTGGAGAAAGCCCTGGAGAGCCTGAAAGAGCCCTTGCACATCACTCAGACGTGCCTGGAATACAGGTAGGAGGGAAGGTTCTTCAAATGAATGATCTGTTGTGAGAAATGAAATGCAGGGTAGAAGAGCTGACTGTGCTAGGTGGTGGGTTAGAGTGAGGCAAATGAGCATGTGTTCTTTTAGATCCTGAAATTATCTTGTTATGCCTGTGGTGCTGGGCAGTGGAAGGAGCACTGGACTAGGTTCATGTCTAAACTCTGCTCTTGACTAACTTAAATATAAGTTAAGACTACATTTGGCTATGGGTAATCAGAAAACCACAAAATAACGTTGAACTTAAATAAGATAGTTTCTTTCTCTCACATTTAAGGAGTCTGGAGATAGTCAGTTCAGGGTTGGCATGGTGCCCCACAGTGTCAGGTTTTCTATCTTGTTGCTCCACTGCACATGGCTTTTACTCCCAAGGTTACCTTGTGACTCAAGATGGCAGCTGGAGCGCCAGCCATTTTGTTTGCATTCCAGCAAGTAGGAATAATTAGGATTTGGCATTCACCATTTCCGCTTGCATCCCATTGACCATAACTTAGTCATATGGCCACACCAATAGAAACTGGGACATGGTAGTCTTTATTTTGGGCAGGCAGAGTGGATACAGTTACTAGAGGACAACAAGTCTGCTCCAATACCCGGAGCCAACAGAAGCCCTTTGTAATCCAGAGAGCACTGTGCAAATATACCTTTTTATTATAATTTCCCTCCTCTAAGGCCTATGAATAGGATGATCCTCTGTGGGGTGATACTGGTTTCCAGACCTGTTCCCCGTCACCACCCTGGCTGGTGCACCCGAACAGGTCTTCTTGCTGCCGGTGTGGGCCACTCAATCCAGTGCATCCTCCACACTGGCTGTTGAGCGAACTTTTCCAAATGCAGATTTTTACAGGTCATCCCCATGCTCAAAATTCTTTAATTACAACCCCATGCCCTGATACCTTCAAGATGAAGTTCAAACTTCTCGGCCTAGCGAACAAGGTTCGTCATGACTGGGCCCCCAGGGGCCTCTCCATGCCCGTAGCTCACGCCCAGTAGTGGGAGATGTTTAGTGTGCTGAGCTTCTTGCCAAACACACCAAGGCCCTGTCCACGCCGTTCCCTCTTCCTGGAAGCCCTGTTCCCCCAGTGAGCTTAGCAAGGACCCTCTGCGGCCGCCAGGCAGCAGTGTCCCCAGGCAGATTCAGAGTCTGTGAAGCAAAGGGAAGTAGCAGGTGATCAGAGGCCGGCATCCAGTTGGCTCAAGTTTACGCCTAAGGGTGGTTAGAAGGTGGATGTTGCTAAGCTGATTGAGTACGTGCTACTGTGCGCCAGGTACCGTGATGCCTGCTTTTATAGCTCATCTGTTCTTGCCACGACCCTAGGAAGTGCTAATACGGTCATGCATCGCTTAACAACAGGGATACGTTCTGAGAGATGCGTCATTAAGTGATTTCGTCATTGTGCGAACATCACAGAGTGTACTTACCCAAACCTAGATGGTCTAGCCTACTATGCACCTAGAGTATATGGTAATAATCTTAGGGGACCGTCACATATGCGGTCGGTCATTGACTGAAACGTGATACACGGTGCATGACTGTAGATGGCCCCATTTCACAGAAGAGGAAACCGAGGCACAGATAAGTTATACAGCATGCCTAAGGCCACACAGCTGGTGGGTAGTGGAGCCTTCGTCCCAAGCACTGTCATTCAGGGTGGAAAAGACCGAAATATCCGGTGGTAACTGGTCAATTTGGGGAGTAACACAGCATAGTGATTGAAAGCTTGTCTAATCCCAGTTCTGTGACATTAGGTCGGTTACTTAACCTCTCTGAAACTGTTTCCTCACCTGTACTTGAAAGGGTTAAGTGAGAATATTCATTGGAAAAGCCCAGCACAATGCCTGTCACATAGTGTGTGCTCGGGGGTGGGGTAATATTAATGTTGTCATTATTATTATTATTATCATCATAAAGCATTTTTCTGGATTCAAATCTTTGTCAAAAAACAGGACTAGAGTCAAGAAAGGAAACATGTCTTTTTTTTTTTTCATTATATATATATTTTTTAAATTTTTTGTTTATTGCAGTAACATTGGTTTATAACATTGTAAAAATTTCAGGTGTACATCATTGTACTTCTATTTCT